AGGCCGAGGCGAAGGGTCGGAAGGTCTATCGGCATGCTGGCTGTCATCAGGGAGCTGCTTGTTTATGATGGACTCCTCCAGTTTATGAGCAGAAGGAAAGGCAATAAGAGAATGACAGAAGAGGGTGCTGCTGCTGTGCCCCTGGAACTAGAGTACTTGTGCTGAGAGACATGCCTAATGGTACGGGCACCGGTGTGTATATCATAGGAGGCACAAGCTTTCGAGATAGAGAAAGGGCTGGTGTGGGCCAGACTGTGGCGGAGTGTTTTTCTAGCGAAAGTTGAGTCTGCAGTTGAAAGGGTGAAGGGGGGCAGTGGAGAGAGTAGATTTCCTCAGTGTAGGGGAGGATGAAAAACAGGTAGACTGGTATAATCTCTCTAGGAAGGGAGTCGTGAGAGAATATACAGCGTGTCCAGGATAACGGGGCATCGAGAACATCAAGTTATCCCTACTTGGGGAGGGATCGATGCAAGAAATTGCTCTCTCAATGGGGATCCCGGACGAGGAACACGAAGGAACAAAGACGTAGCTACTCATCTCTTAACACAGTACGAGTGTTTGGAAAAGAAGTACATGTAATATTCCACTGTGAATCCGTTTCCTGGACAGTGAATAAAAGGAACAGACAGCTGAGCGGTGAATCCCTGGGGCGCTTGTCGTTTACCGTTCTTTTCTGGACCGAATAGAGGGAGAAAGAGAGTCCAGCTTCATGAGGATCCAGGAAGAGGTCAAAAACAAATTGGAAAAAAAAAACGCAGATACTCTGGAAATAGAAGTATCCCTCGAAATTGGACAATCGGCTCAAGAAAAACGTCGTCTCCCTCTGTCTACGGACGTCCTCCTCCAATTAACTCGTCTGGGGCTTAAAAGTCCTCCTTCGACGACACTTCTCCTCCCAGACCTTCAGCGTTGGTCAATGTCAACAAAAATAACAATAGATTTTCTTACACTTGTCCTTAATGCGTTTCAGTGTTTCGTCTCACAAGTATAATCAGGATATTAATCTACAAAACCATGTCACATAACGCTACTTTTATAACGATTGTGATTATCTTGCCGATGTTATTAATAAAGCTAATCGACTTTGTTCTACCAATGACACATTGATCACTTTATAACTGCTAGCATATTCTTAACAACTGTATAATGTATAATGCTGTATTAACATTCTCATATATTTACATCAATATCTCGCAATTTACACTAATGCGTCATAAACAAACATAAAGATAACTATATACCTTTTTTTTGGGAAGAACCTACCACATCCTGTTTTTATCTTCATCGTTATCATATAAGTACGGAACAAGCAACAACAAGAACTGTTACCACGACCTAACACTTTATAAAAACTGATAAGACTTCCCTCATACCCAATCACGATGCACATTTACATGTTACTGTCCAAATATCGTCTGGTTGATAAGGAGAGAGATAAAGAAAGAAAGAAAAGGAGGTCGGGCTTACTAACAATCACAACAAGACAAAATAACAGTTAACTACTGTTATCGTCTCGCTGTATATAAGAAACAAGGTGTTATTAACATTATCACTCGGTGGCTTTTGGCGTGTGGCGTAAGGTTGGCGGCCGCTATCATGTCCGCTGGTCTTCCGAAACCTGCGACTGTGGGTAAATACACTCTATTTCTTTTCGAGCTACGGTTTTTTCGAAGGGTCCATTGCATTTAAGAGACTCTTATTCTAATCAAAATGGCGATAGTGTTGTTGTTTTTTTAAGATGAGGTGATTTATTTTATTATGAATTTAAGATTTTGATATATTAAATCTTTGCAGATAAAGGTTTTTTATCAAAAGTACGAGATGAAGATGTTCCGAAAATGCTTTTCCTCTCTGTCAATCCTAACAAGGTAAGTTTCACCGATGCGTGTAAACACACACACACACACACACACACACACACACACACACACACACACACACACACACACACACACACACACACACACACACACACACACACACACACACATACACACACACGCACACGCACACGCGCACACACACACATACATCGTCAAGCAAAATATCAAAAAGAGTGAATATCAATGAAGTAAACAAAACAATGTATATCAAATAAAATCAAGGTTGTAGTGCAATAATAAAACAAATAATCAAATCACATTAATACTATATTGCAATGCTCCTTGCACTTGTTTCCATTCCGAACAACAAATGCAACAGATTGAAGAGCAAGATACAACCTACGCGGCCTCTGGCTATACCGACGGCGTCAGTATCGGCAAGAAAGTCATGGTGACAGAATTCCGACGTGAAGAAACGTCAGACTCCGTCACGAGATTATTGGAGAAATTTGAGGTAATATCAGGTGCATAAGTTTGCAGTAATCTGTTTGATAATGCAAGAGACAGTCTGTTAATACTGAAAGAACGTTTAGATATCTCCTTTATTTACATATCTCTTTATGTACTTATAATTTATTTTTCACCCGTTTTTTTCTCTCTTTCTTTTTTCTTTTACTGCAGAGATCTTTGAGCGAGAAGAGCATAAACCCAGTCCGCCGCGAGCTGCAACTCCGCATCCTCAAACTCAGCAGTGTGGAATTTAATACCAACACCCAGAGCACCCTGGAGAGTAACTTCTCCGACGAAAACGATCAGCTCAACAACGAGGAGGAAGATATTCTGGAATTCACCGAAATCTTCGAGATGTTCAACATATCCGCGCCCGAGAATATCAAAGTCAATTTCGGGAATATCATTTCGAGCAAGAAGATTCCGCTGAAGAGGGGAGACATCGACAACTATAGCAAGAAGACCTTCTTCGTATACGCGGAGAACAAGATCATGATGAAGATCTGCGACTCCCTCACTCCCCGGGACGTCTATTGCCTCTACGAGATCATAAGGGAATCGAAGGCCATCGAGAATGATGACAAAGTGAAGGACCTCTTGTCGCAGGAGATAGACCAAGGGGCGCTAGAGAAAGTGCGTGGCCTAAAGGACGTGGCCTTTTACTATCTCACGCTCATGATGATGAGGAAGCAACTCCTCAACCGCCTTTACACTCACAGACTCGTTTTCCTCTTCGACCAGCTGAAGGAAATGAAGAGCGGAAAAGACCCCAATATCGATCGTATTCTGGACACCCTTAACCGATACCCCGTGGCTTCACGACCTCCGGGACTGTGCATCGTGTTCAACATGATCGAGAACAGGAACGGGGCAGCCAAGGACCTCATCAAAGTGAGGGAGTTGTTTGAAAAGGAATATAAATTTGATTTCTTCGTGAAAATTGACCCCACAGCTGAAGAAATAAAGACAATTGTTAGCAAACTCAAGGCAGCTAGGAACAAGTTTTACGACAGGTAATCTAAAATTTACACTTTTACAATATGCATATATCATTCAGCTTTAAGGCGCTCACTGAAAAATGTTTAATTGCTAGAGATTATTTTACGTCACAAAATTAATAACATAATTAATATAACTAAACACAAATTAACCAATTAATAAAAAAACGAAACAAGTTTAATTACTACAGTCATTACAAATAAGCTGAACATAAATCAAACCCAATAACTCTTAAATAAAAGTCTAATTGTCAACAAAATTAACCGCAAAACCAGTACAATTAATCTAAACATAAAACAACCACAATTAATCTTTAAAAGAAAACGGACCTGAGTTGAACAACCACAGCTCTTTTAGAAAAAAAAACTCTAATCCCAACGCCTCTCCCTCTTAGCCTGGTCGTGTGGTTCATGGGTCACGGAGACAAGACTTACCTCACTGTGAAGAATGAGCAGCGTATTCATCGACGCACCGACCTCATCCAGCCCTTCACGGAGATCGAGTGGTTTAACAAGAAGCCCAAACTGTTCTTCATACAGGCGTGTGCTGTGAAGAAAGATCGAAAGAGGTTTTCGTCAACGTGTAAGTTTGATAATGAAATTTTAAGATGTTTCAGATTTTCCTTGTGTTATGAATTCCTTTTTTTTCCTAAGTGATACAATATTGTGTTTTATATTATTTCTTTACTTTTTGAGGGTTGTTTTTGCATGAGTATTCGTTCTTGAAAAGTGTGGAAAATGCGGAATATTATACACGTTCTTTAAAAGACCCATTTCTTCTGGTTTAGATAATGAGAAAAAAATGCTCTTAAGAAACTGCATTTTCGTTACCGTTTAAATGATATATTAAGATATATAATGGTATATTATTCTTATTTTGCAGATTAAATTATAGTTACTGCTGTCGACATTTGAACCCTTCTTCCCAATTCTTACATTGGATATTTTAGAGCAAAGATATATATGCTTTAGCAGTGACTTTGGCTTTGGAAATAAATGCTATTGTAATTTTTCAATTGCACTGATGACATGGGCATTTATAATACTGACAGAAACCAAAAAATCCAGTTCAGTAGCAGGTCAAGTCTCAAAACTGCGCACTTCTAGCTTGCGGTCCTAAAAATGTTACCCGAACAAAGCCTCTCTCTCTCTCTCTCTCTCTCTCTCTCTCTCTCTCTCTCTCTCTCTCTCTCTCTCTCTCTCTCTCTCTCTCTCTCTCTCTCTCTCTCTCTCTCTCTCTCCTTTCTTTCTTACTATCCGTTTCTTCTTCTTTTTCTTCCTCTATTCTTCTCCTTATGTTTCTTCTTTTCCTATCTTTCCCCCTCTCACCTCCACCCTCGTTCATCCCTTTCCCCCTCCTCCTCCTCCTCCCTCTCTTCCCTTCTTCACTCCACCCCTCCTTCCATTCCCTCTCCTGCATTCTCTCTACTACCTCTCTAACCCTTCAAAAAAACCTTCACAGCGCAGCCCAAGGAACTGTCGGCTCTCCAGGCATCCACGGACTCCTCCGGATGGCGCGCCCCTGCTAGCAGCGAGTGGCAGGACAAGTACGCTAGTTATACCGACGTGTCTCAGGTGAACTCCTTCGCTGACACGCTCATCTCCTACGCGACCATGTGGTACCAGTACGCTTCTAGAGGCGAGGAAGGTAAAGCATTTTTTTTTTTACCGTTGTTGGGGTCTTGTGTTGATTATGGAATCAGGGGGAATGGGAAGTTGGTATGTGTTTTTTATTCTCTCATTGTGTGTGTTTGTGGTATTCTGATTCGACATATACTAAATAATTAGTTGCACAAACACATGTACACGCACTCACACCCGCACACCCACACCCCCACCCCCACCCCCAGACACACACCCACCCACCCACCCACACCCACACACACACACACAAAAAAAACACCCCTCCCCCACATATGTGCACACTCACGCAAGCACGTGCACACAAAAAACAAAAAAGTGATCCCCAACTACAATAAGTGACTTCTACAATCCCCAAAAGAAAAGTGATAATCATTCATTAACCTTTTACCCCAGGTTCACTGTACGTTGACACCCTAGTGGACCAGCTGAGGCAATATGGGTGCAAGGAGAGTGTCGAAAATGTTCTTCGTCGTGTTCACTATAACGTGAACACAGTGGCTCTCTTGCACAGTGAGCAGGGCCAGGACATTACATGGAAGCAGGCACCCTATTTTGAATCCTCACTCCAAAAGGCTTTCATATTCCCTAAGCCTGAAAAAACAGTGGCTGGTATAGTTCGGTAAATTGAAGGATTTGTAACCATACAGTACAGATATATATGCACACTAATGCAGTTATAACCTCCCATGAACGTGCATACAAGCATACACAACACAGACAGACGGACATATGTATACTTTTACAAACTCAAGGGGCAATGGTCTTAAGACAAGAAATATTTTGTTTAGCTCTAAGTATCTTTTTTAAATAATGTCAATGTCATTAATTTCATATCTGGCTGTAAAAGGATTATTTGTTAGAAAGAATTGCGTGTTATTCTAGTCGTCATAAGTGTACTCACAAGCTGTTTGAAATTCAGCTAGAATTATTAATGACATACTTAAGTATTTGATAAATAATTAAAATGATACGTTGTTCATTTTGATTCTTGTGTATCATTAATGACTAATTCATATGTGATCTGCCTTTTAAACTATAAAAAGCCACTTAGTTGTAAAATTTGATCAACATTGCCTTGATCTCTGGAATAAGAAAGGTTTTGGCAGTGGACAATTCATCTTCATATTTATCTAGAGCAATTACTAAATAAAAGATATCTTCTACATCAAACTCATTAGCCTTTACTGATGACCAACAGAATTGTAATGGAATACTCTTAACTGACCTGAATGGCTAATTATCATATGCAAATAAGTGATTGGGAAAAGTGAAAGTCACTGAATTACTGAACAGAAAACATCTATGTCAGAGATACACACACAAAAGGAATGTGATACAGGGCAATACTTATTCAAATATATCTGTAAAATCAAATAATTATGTGACCTATTAAATACTTGGTTTATTTGAAGAGTGCTATGTTCTGTCCAGCTAGGGCCACATATATTAGTAATATTAATATTCCACTTGTTAAAATAAGCTAATAAAGTGAAAAAAGGAGATGAATTACAAGAGAGATGAAGTTTGGCTGCATCTCAGTACAAACAGTTTAGCACATTTGACAAAATTACAATGTTTTTGTACTTAGCTATCAATAAGCAGAGGCACCAGCAAGGAACAAAGAGGAAACAACTACCCAACACATCAGCTTGTGGCTCAGTAGCTTCTTCAAAACATACATCTCACACTCACTGGGATATGAGACCCCAGTTTGCTTATGACAATTGACTTCAATGAGTCCTTATACGTTTAAACTGACAGTTAGATGGTTCACAATTGTATATGGTATATGTCCTCCACTGTGATCATTCATTGAACTGAATGGATGGTAGATAACCCATTATTCTTTAACAACACAAAAATGGTTATTTTATTCTACACTTCTACTACTAAATTTCTGACAAGGTATTTATCCTTCTCTTCATTTCATATCAAGGAGAATTATCCACAGAAAAATGTAGTTCTTTAGCATCAAGCAAGCAAAATTGTGAGGATACTCTACTGCTCCAAGAACTTTTTTCACATTTATATAATTATTTGCATTTGACAAACTATTTTCAATACCTATTACTTGCTAATGCAAAGCTTTATTGAACTATAATCTTACCATCTGGTAAGTATGCTTAACGAAGGGATAAAGGATATAATTTCTGCAACTTACCACACAACTATATCAGAACTAGGATATATTTTCTATCAACAAGAGTAGTAGGGAGAGGTAAAGGCAAATGAACTGAGGCAGATAACATCCACAAACTCTTTATTGTCTTTTTTTCTTTTGCTTAAAATGTATACATGAATAAATGCAAATTACGATCAAGCTAAAACCTGGGAAAGTGAAAGCCATGTAACAGTTGTCTTTTATTTCCTTACAAAAACATACAACACTATAGAGAAATCAACAGAGTATGTAAATGCCTCTATTTTCCGAATCAAAGCATTATTCAGAACAAGAAAAATCTACAACCCCCAAAATAGGAATAAGTACTTACATGTCTAACTCTCACAGGAATCAGTATACAAATATACTCGAATTAAGAATAGAGGAACCTATTAGCAGTCCTGATGACTTCCTGAATCACAGTGAAGAAATAAGAGGTTGGTTATTTTCCGAAAGTTTAACAATAAGGTCTTCTTTTGCTTTTGATGCGAGTCAAAAACAAGAAGTTTGAAAACCTTTTACCAGAGTGAACAAAAGAATGCAGAGGTCTGTTCGGGACTATCACATCTAATCAAAGGTATTCACTTCATACCCTAATCGTTGAATTATTATGTAATGACCGTTTTGGGTTGTGGCCTATTTTTGAATTGCCCTGTAATCTTTCACCAGGGAAACCGCATTCAAAAATTTCATTTTGGGATTAAATTCAAGATACTATGTATGTATGAGGAATTAATTGTACTTTTAATGCCAATATTCAAGTCCTAATTTTAACTCACATGGACGTTTTTTTCATACAGTTCATCATAAGAATCTATTATATATATATATATACTCATAAATCTTTATAATCATACTTATATATTTTTCTTATATATTAATATGTAATATATATACATACATTTTATATATATATATATATATATATATATATATATATATATATATATATATATATATATATATATATATATAATATACATACATTATATATATATATATATATATATATATATATATATATATATATATATATATATATATATATATATATATATATATATATAATATACATACATATATATATATATATATATATATATATATATATATATATATATATATATATATATATATATATATAATATAATATATATATATATATATAATATATATATATATATATATATACATACATATATATAATACAAATCTAACTATTTTCAATTAAAACCGAATACAGAAAACAAGTCTATATTTTTGTTGTTTTCCTACAACAAAGAGGAGCAGACACTTGTGGGAGTGGGTTGTCCCCTCCCCTCCTTGATAATGCTGAGTATAGGCTGCAGTTTTTTGAAAAGTTACATGACATATACACAAGATAAAAAAAATCTAGATTCACATCCAAAAGTAGATGGTAACCAAAATATCTTATGGAGGCTATGCTTGCATATCCTCTTCATTTGCCTCGCAATATCTCACTAAGTGTCTGCTCCTAATAACGGAGAACATGGCTGCAAGCACCACTATAAAGCAATACAACCTTGCCCAATTTGGTGAGAAACTCTTGTGTAAATGTTGTGCTTCCCACTCTATGCTTTCCCAAGAACAAGAAAAACAATTAAAAAAAGGTGTGTGGGCAAACTTTTCAAATACTAAGAGAAGCACGCTCCACAGTTGCTGCACCGTCGTTCCCTCATGGCTAGGCAGCACAGGATGCCGATGGGGAAGAACCAGAAAGCACAACAGAGACCAGCCAGAGTGAAGTCTTCGCTTAGCACACCCACCTGAAATGGAGACCTCTCTTTCATACAGTGTATTTTTTTTTTTAGTATCAATATATATTTTTTTATTTACTTATCTTCTGTACTTATCATCATTATGTAAGAATTACTATTGTGTCAAGAATATATCTAATGCTTATCATATATAATTCACAATCACAAGTGCAGGTCAGTACACCCCCCACCCCTCCCTAATTTACTGTAATCGATCAGGCTGCCATTCAAAATATCAGAGAATTAGCACGTCCTTACATTAATCATTAAATAACAAAGAATAGTCCAGCCAAAATAATAAACATTACCAGATGTTTTCCTCCCTACCCATATCAAAGGAAAATTTTACCGAGTTTCTGAACCAAACATGATTCCACACTAACCCTACAAGCTGGGCATCCTCCAACGACAATAACATCTGCCCCCTGCACGGGATGGACCACTACAGGGATGCTTCCGTAAGTCGGCTGTTGTGTGGTGATGATGGTCGTGCTAGCACCTGGGGTAGCACCAACGAATCCAATCTGCGTTGCTGGTGGAGGGGGTGGCATAGGCTGGTATGGAGGAGGGGGTCCCGCTGGAAGGCAGTTATTTTGTTGAAAAAACAGTTAGGTTTCTGTCAATATGAAGAATGTTAACTGAACTTCTGGAAGGGTTTTGTATTTTTCTCCCATCTCACCTCTTTAACTCAATGATGTCAAGGAATAACCTCAAGATTAATTTCAAGGTCCCCCCCCCCATTTACAAGTGAAGGAATTAATGTTTTGTTTTTATGTTTGATTTCGAACATTGTGATTATTGTTTTTCATAAAAGCATTGACAAATAAGGGTTTTGGCTAAAATTGGAAAGCTGTAGCTCATTATCTATTGTTGCTGGAGCCATAAACACTAGTCAGGCCCACCTTCACCATGATACATATCAATACACACACACACACACACACACACACACACACACACACACACACACACATATACATATATATATATTCACGTTTGTTCACTTCTGGATCAAAACCAGGCGTCCTGTATGGGCTTCCAAAAGTTCATAAAACCGGCTGCCCTCTTAGACCAATACTTTCAGCTATTGGCACTTTAAACTATAACATCTCAAAGTATTTTGTTCCCATTCTTAAAACACTGACTATCAATGAATTCACAATACATGATACTTTCTCATTTGTAAAAACAATATTAGATATTCCCAATGCTGACAGTTATATAATGGCAAGTTTTGATGTTACCAATCTATTCACAAATGTCCCTCTTTCTGAAACAATTGAAATCATCACTGACTCTCTGTTCAACCACAACACTCACATAAATGGCTTGAATAAGGTACAATTTAAGAAATTGCTTGAAATTGCCACTAAAGATATAACATTCTTCTTTGATGGCAAATTATATAAACAGATTGATGGAGTGGCTATGGGTAGCCCCTTAGGTCCAACTCTTGCAAATATATTCATGTGTTTTCATGAAAAGATATGGCTCACAAACTGCCCCCCTGACTTTTGACCCTTACATTATTATAGATATGTTGATGATACATTTCTTTTGTTCAAATCATAACTTGAAGCTCAGAAATTCCTGCAATATATGAATGGTCTGCACAAGAATACCAAATTTACTTGTGAGCTAGAGTCCAATGGTAAACTTCCTTTCTTGGATGTCAGTATAAGCAGAGATAGCAATAGGTTCTCAACTGCAACATACAGGAAACCTACATACACAGGCCTCACCACAAAGTTTGATTCCTTTATTCCAGTCAAGTACAAAACTAATTTAATCAATACCCTTATCAATAGAACATACAAAATATCAAAGTCATATCAAATATTCACCAAGGAAATAGACTTTATCACTGACACCCTAAGAAGGAATGGTTTTCCATTATTTGTCATTCAGAGGTCAGAGAACCAGTACAACTTGCCACCAAAGACATAATCTACATAAAGCTTCCATGAGTTATACTATTAGAAGAAAATTATTAAACCTTGTAAACTTACACTATTCAACTGCAGATCTAAGGATAATTTTCACGTCCACAAACACCATTGGCCACTTCTTCAAAGTAAAGGACAAACTTCCCAGCCTATTATGTTCATCTGTCGTATATAAATTCACATGCAGCAGCTGCAATGCTGCTTACATTGGAAAGACTTCTAGGAATCTTTTCATTCGTGCAGATGAACATAAAGGTGTTTCATATAGAACGGGAAGACCACTAGGGAAACCCATGGATTCCCCAGTGCGTGAACATTGTCAACAATATAACCATAGCTTGTCAAGACATGAATTCAAAATAATAGACTCATCATCCTTTGCTTCTGACCTCTCCATATTAGAAAGTTTGTGGATATGGAAAGGACGATCGAAGCTTAATGAACATTTAGCCTCCACTGACATTGAATTGCTCCGCTCATAATTACAATAGTTGACCCTGTTTTAAACACTCTTACATTTTCTATACATCCCGTTGTTCCAATAATATCACCATATGTAAACAGGAAATGACAGATGATAGGTGTGTTCGCGTCATTCTCTGTATATTTGCACTTTTGATTTAATTATTTCTCACGATAATATTATATTATTTAATTTAAGAATTACTATATTGTTTCTAAACCTTCATAGTTATATGTCGTGTTAATTTTACAGCTAATCATCGATAATGGGTGACGAACTTTACACCCGAAAAGTCTGGAAATAAAGATGCTGTTCCCGATAAGCCTGGTTTATCTGTTCCTTATATATATATACACACACACACATACATACATATAATATATATATATACATAAAAATACATGCTATGCCCACTCTGAGTTTACTTTATTAATTGTTTTTACATATAGATGGCTACACTTGTACAAAGTCACTAATCAACCTTTTGCTTGATTTACGAAAATACTTAACACCATTTGCGCCGGGGAAAAATGAACAAAAAATGGGGAAAATGCTGTTCATTTTTTATATTTTTTTGTGAAATATCTCTACACTAGATGGCTCTGCCTTACCTGATTTCACCTTTACTTGAATTGGCGGAAAATGTATTTTTACTAGTGCTATGAATATCGATGGTTATTTTTATTATAAACATTATAATTACTATAATGTTATGAACATTAGTAACAGCAAAATAAGATAAAGTAAAATATTTTTGCAAATTAAAGAAAAGAGTAAACAAGCAAGACAGGCAGTACAAGTACAAGTGTAGCTATCTATGTGTAAAAACAATTAAACAAGTAAACTCACAGTGGGGATGTCATGTATACGTGACACCCGGCGCAAATGGGTTGACATTATCTTATTTTGCTGTTACTAATGTTTATAACATTAGCGTAATTATAATGTCTATATAAAAACAACACCATTGATATTCATAACATTAGTAAAAAAATTTAGTTTTTCCAGTCAATTCAAGGAAAAGTGAAATCACGTAAGGTCACAAGGTCTACTAACCGACTCCTTTGTGGCTAAGCACTAGTAGAGCCTCTATATGCAAAGACATTTCACAAAAAAATAAAAAATGAGCATAGCATTTTCTCCGGCAGCATGTGGTTAATACTGCCATCCTTAAAACCTCTGTAGTTCAGGAGTGTAATGGTCAAACAAGCAGAACAATTTTCTAAACCTATAACCATTTGTACTAAATTTCAACATCACAAAATCAACTTTTACTTTTGCAATGACAGATAAATCAAACAAAAACCTCTGAAAACCTTACGTGGGGGAGGGCCCATCGCTGGATTATAAGGTGGTGGCTTTTGATCCATGCTGTGTTGTCAATGAATCGCTAAAACACCAAATTCAATGGCCACTAGTCTGGAAAAGAAAAGAAAAGAATGAAAGGGTAACCAAGACCCTGACTTTCTCATAAAAAATAGAATGACTCTGACTACATAACAGTAGGTAATATTAGTGTATGTATAAAAAATGCAGATCATATTGGCATGCACATCTTCCTAACGGGCAAAAAGCTTAAAGTATGAATGCCTTTCCAAATCCAACTACTTTTATCTTCTGTTTCACATGTACAGTACCTATATACATGTATGCCAACTTTAAAAATAAGATTTACAGTTATAAAAAAAGCTAATTATTTCGAGTCACAATGATGACACCATACAACTTACAAATAATTACAATTAAAACATTCACTGTATTAGTTTTCATGCTCTTCTTTTATATAGAGCCAATGTTACACAATAAACTAATGACTGTTTCCTAAATGTATTAATGAAAACAAATCAGTGAGTTGCAAAATAAAAATAATAATAATAATAATAATAATATAAGAGGTATCATTCTGCTGATTTAACTTGATACTACATCATTTTCTGTACATTACACATGAAATTATGATCAATGGTTTAAATAGTCACAATAATCTAAACTCCAACATTTAAATATCTGACCATTATAGTGCTAGAGAAAATTTACAATAATCATTAAAGAAGGTAGGGTTATAAAAGATAAACCTTGCAATGATTCCCCTTAGTAGGCATGCATCTGAACAGCTGCAAGAAAAATGGTAAAACTACTACTTTAAGCTAACAAAACAAAATCAATAGTATTTGATAAACATAGTATAGATGCCACAGTTAGGCAGTCAGGGAACAAAATATGAGTGAGGAGGAAAATAAAGAAAAGAAAATACAAAGAAAGAGAGACTTAAATGACATGTATCCATACCCTACTATAAAAACAGACCTTGTTCCCTGCCAAACAACCCTGCTGCAATTATATAACAATCATCAACTTCAACCCTTGTATTTTGAAGTTTTTGAAAATACAGATGCACCAGTATGCAATACTAAAGCATAGCAGCCCTGCAGGGAAAGAGGCTAGCTAAAATGTTCACAATCTGTTCTCTGACGAAAACTTGCAAATACTATTTAGCATTTTGACAACAACAAGGCACGACACATATACTAGTCTACTGTGATTTGATTTTATTAATTTTGCTTACATGCAGATTGCTCCATAAAACCTTAGAGACCAAGTAATATTTAAATTCCTACTTCTTGTTGACATTAGTACTGATTATAATTCCAATGGTAATAATAATAGTAATGATATCAACATCAGAAGAAAGCAACTGATCAAGGCCATTCAACCATAGTCTCTAGAGAGTGCTAGTTTCATGGAGCGCTGAAACACAAAAATGTGCCGACCACCTGTTTAAAGTACTGTGATAGACTCACAGTACTTTAAACAGGTGTGCTGGCAGAACAGGATTAGGAATGCTTATGTTTTTTTGTTTTTTTTTTAAATTAGTGTTTACTTTTTTTTATTATTAAATAAATAAGATAGAGAAAATTTGGTGTTTGTTTTATCTACAATACTTCTGTCAGACTAAGGTAGAGAACATAATGAACTAATACTATACAATGATTTTTGTCTCTCAAAACACTGACAGAGCCTACCAGATGGGTCACAATATAGTAAACACTACAAAAATAAGACAAAAAGCTAAATGATCACGAGTATTACAAGGGAATGAAAGACCATGAAAGGCTGTGACATGTTATCCTCTCACTCTGATGAAAAACCTGTCGGGAGTGCCAGACATTTAGCATTAGTGCCTGTGCCTGTCCTAGGGCCAAGTTAGTAGTTAGTAGTTACTTGTTTCTGATTGGTCTTGATTTCCTGCATTTATTTGATACATTAATATACCAAAAATTAATCAGCAAAAATTACTTTATGAGTTAAGCTTTTATATTACCGTGACAAAAAAGATCACAGTGCCATATTCACAACAGAACAGCACATTTATATGAGTGAATAGGGAAAGGCCTCATACTCACACATAATTATCCAGATATTTAAATGTCACTTTTACACAACTCATTTCTATAAAGAAGTCAGACATTCCTACACTTTATCACAGAAGTTAAAATTTCTTGTATGGAATTTGGGCGTTTCTACATAAAATAACTTCACAAAGCCAACAAAACTCGTAGTTAAATGCCAATAAAATCAAGTGTTTCGACCATTAATATCATCACTTATAACATAAATACCTTCAAAATACTTCCAACTGTGAATGAAATACAAGAAAAGTAAGCCAACATAAGCCT